ACTACTCATCATCCTTGCTTCTTACGTATTTATTTTTGTGACTGTGCTAAACATCCATTCTGCCAGCGGGCGTCGCAGAGCCTTCTCCACCTGTGTCTCCCACCTGACCGCCATCACCATCTTCCACGGGACCATCCTTTCCCTCTACTGTGTGCCCAACTCCAAAAACTCCCGGCAAACTGTCAAAGTGGCCTCTGTATTTTACACAGTGGTGATCCCCATGTTGAATCCTCTGATCTACAGCCTGAGGAATAAAGATGTGAAGGATGCCTTCCAGAAATTAATGGACACAAAAGGCCCATTTCTCTGAACCAAACTCAAAAGATGTGTTTAATCCCAAGAGTAATAGGAACAGAGCTTTCTAAAACCTACAGCGTATATTTTCATGAGGTTTTTGTTGGTGACTGTGATGTTAATATATTGTGAACTGGTAAACTGAAATCCCTTGAAGTTATTTGTGTTGTGTGTCTCTGAAGCATTGTGTCTTTGTTGGGAGATATGGATGGACATACTGTGTGATAAAAGTGGGAATGATCCTTTTCTGACACCTCCACTCCTTGGGTTCTGTGAATTCTATGAAAACACAGTCTTCTGCTTTCTAACAGTCAGCTTATGCTGAGAAGTACATTGGGCAATGACAGTTACGTCTACTGTGTAGATGATAACACAGAGGTTCAAGAAACTCACCTTGAATTGACTGAAATCACTAATTTAAGAGAGGAACTCAACTCTGTTGACTCTGAATCCAGTGCTCTTTCACTATAGTTCCTCTGAGGCTATTAGTCTGAAGTCACAAGAATTAGTTTTGTCCTTCAGAAAGGAGAATCTCTGGAGTCGTTGCAATATTCCTAGATTATCTTTGGATATTATTACTCAAAAGACTGCATTCCCAGTATTATCAGGACTGGAAATCTCTACAAATATTATCTAGTCTAGTTCACATGTTTTAGGACTTGGATGATTGTAATATACATTTTATCTGGGAATATTGAGGAATCATATTACAACATTTCTATTCTAATGTTTATATGAATGCCAAAACAAGCACAAATACCTGGTAAAAAATACACTAAAAATTAAAGCAAATTATAGTAGGAAGGCTAACCCTATAGAATTTAAAATAAATTTAGGGGCTGGCCCGGTGGCATAGTGATTAAGTTCGTTTGCTCGACTTCGGCGGCCTGGGGTTCACAGGTTCAAATCCCAGGTGTGGACCAATGTACCACTCATCAAGCCATGTGTGGCGGTGTCCCATATACAAAATAGAGGAAGATGGGCACAGATGTTAGCTCAGAGCCAATCTTCCTCACACACATACAAAAAAAGTAAAATAAATTTAAAATCCTTATTATTAAAACAGTGTCATTGGAATAAATAGATGAGAGTTCTCTTTTGGTGTATGAAATACGGAAGAGATGTAATTGAAAACAAGTGTAAAACTTAGATTATATGAATATACAATGCTTCCAGGCGAAATAACAGATAAGAAATTAAAATGGCAAATGAAAAGCTGAGAAAAAGTCAGCAGCTATGATACATACAGTAGAGGAGAAAATATAAACAGAGACTCAATATATAATTAAATAGTCTATATAAAAGAATACAAATAGTCCTTAGACATATGAAGAGTTGTTCAATCTAACACATAATAATAGAAATACAAATGAAAACTGCCCTAAGTTATCACTTCTCACCTTTCAGAGTGGCAGAAATCCAAAAGTTTAATGGCATGTCCTGTAAGTGAATTTTCAGGGAAACAGATATTTTGATGCATTGAGGGCAGGAAGGTAACATGTTCATGTGATGTGAAGTACTAGCAAAGTTACATATGTATTTATCCTCTTGCAAAGCATTCACAGTTCTAGGAATCTACCACAAAGATAGAGTAGCAAAAATATGTATAAATAACATATTCCAAACAATATTTATAATAAGAACAGACTGGATAAAATCCAATATGAAGGTGGTTGATTAAACTATGGGTCACAATAAAGAAGTATACATTAGTGAAAATGGAAAGAGGGTGGTTTCTATATGTTTCTATGGAGTGCCCTCCAGAAAATTTTCTTAAGTGAATAAAGGTGCATAAATTGTTTATAGTATGATAAATTGTTTATAGTGTGATAAATTGTTTACAGTGTGATAAGTTGTTTGAGAGAAGAGGGAAAGGTAGAACCAAAACTAACAAGGACAGGAAGAGATGCAGGACAGCTTTTAGGAATGAACAGTGTAACAAAGCTCTGGTTTAGGGGAAATGAAATATTTTACATAGTTTAAAAGACATATATTTATGTCAAAAAGTACAAAAAATCTCTGAAATTTGAAAACAAATAAAAACAAATGAATCTGTAATGTTGGACACATGGTCACACAGTGTAAAACATTTTCTGTAAAGGACTTGAAACACAGCATTTTGAGTGTGCATCCTCGTTATGCAATGTTTATTTTAGTATAAAGTAAATAAATAATTATGGAAATGTCATTGAAATGAAGTGGTAAGCATAAAAGAAGTGTTACAGCTCTAAAGTAAGAGAAGGTAAGTAAAAAACTTTTCATCTTCACTTGAAATAGAAACTGATTTTGAAACAATTTTTTTCTCTTAAAAATAGTACCACTCATAATCATAACCCAGTAGCAATGAACATCCCTAGTCCTAAAATTCTCTCTGAAAGGAAATCTGTGCTCTCTAAGCAGACTAGAGCTTTTTGGAGAAATAGCTGTTTTGATGTCCGAGGTAGAAAATGTAATGAGCCTTGAGCAGCTTAATTTCCAGAAAGCAAGAATGCTATTAACAGCTAGTTGGATCATTTCAGAGACATAGGAGGCAATTTGAAATGGCTCCCACTGGCTTACAGTTAACATAAAAATGAATATTGACTGCCATTCATTTAAAAGCATCAAATATATTTACATCTAAAAATTTAAATCTAGATACTAAAAAAGAAAAATAATAAATCATTGGTTACTATTTATGGTTGCTGGGGTATCAAGTCATTACTCTGAAAATTGGTAAACAAAAGAGATAAATATTTATTCTATATTTCCTTTAAGAATTGTATTTCAGGGTTACCTAATAGTTTCTGAAGGAAAATACAGAACAAATAAAAACAGAAAAAAACGATGGAATTAGAAAATCACAATTTTCAAACTCCTAATAAAAAAGTAGATCAAGGCGATGATTTCAGTAGCTATTCAAGTCATGAAGTGAAAAGTTGGTGGGAAATGTTAAACGGAAGTAACCAACATGATACCCCCTGAATCCACAGACCAGGCTAAGCTGCACTAAAAGCTGGACAACTAGTTAACATGTACGCCACAATTTGATGTGACTGGCAGTAGTCAGGACCACCTATGAAGAATTCTTGCCTAAAAGAAACTAAAGGAGTAAACCTGAACTAATAAAGCTTCTTGATGTATCAGTTTAAAAGAATTGGTGCAGGAACAAGTCATTACGACAAATAAAGCAATAAGCCAAATACAGAACATGCAGTGTTCTACAAATGTTCTAATTTTTCCAAACAATTACCTGAACACACATACACACACACACACACACACACACACACACGGGTGTGTTACATACTACACAGAACATAATGTTACATAATACATGGAACTGTTACAGAATAAAAAAAATTAGTTATAACAACAAAATTTGTTTGATTCTTGACTCAAACTAACCGTAAAACTATATCTTTCAGGCAATTGGGGCAATTTAAACAGGGGTTGGTATTAAATTAGATAAGAATATGCTTGGGCAATGCCCTGTGGCTTAGCAGTTAAGTGTGCACGCTCCGCTACTGGCGGCTGGGTGTGCACCGGCCCACCACTTGTCCAGCCATGCTGAGGTGGCGTCCCACATACAGCAATGAGAAGGATGTGCAACTATGATGTACAACTATCTACTGCGGCTTTGGGGAGAAAAAGGGGAAAAAAAAAAGGAAGAGGATTGGCATGGATGTTAGCTCAGGGCTGATCTTCCTCACAAAAAAAAAAAAAGATTATGCTAATATTTTGGTTAGGTGGAATTTTGGCATGAGGGTTTATTAAAATGTTTATTTCATCGATGGTTACATTTTTTATAAACTCCTATTAATGACTTAGTTCTGTTAGCAAGTGGATTGATAGAGAAATATAATACCCTATAAATGTAATTATATTTTAAATGACTCAAATTTATAGGATTGGAAGTCAGGGACTCACTGTCCCTAAAATGTCTTAATACTTCAGGACAAAGAACAGCACACATAGTCTCACTTTCCAGGCTGCACACAGCACTTTTGGCCAAGAGTACATTTGGGACAGAAAAAAAAAATCAGTGTAGCAAGTAGTAGTAGTTCTTTGTTTTGAGGCTTGTAGAATTGGCTGAAGTACTTTTCCTTTCCTTGAATATCTTCAAAAGACTTAAAGTTTTAAAATTACATTGATAAACCACTTTTAGTTTTATCATCCCAGATTATTTCTGCAGACCTGAAATTATTTAATGATTATTTATTAATAAAATACACTGTAAAAATACTCAACTAATGTCATCCCATATTTTGTTATTGTTCTAAAAAATACCAACAGAGTGGCGTAAACACAGCTTTAAAGGACCACCCATAGATATACCCAGATAGGCTTCCTTCATTTTCTTCGTGCCATAAGTAGTATCATCCTGAAATATCCAACTATATTTTTGAAAAAGAGGTTTAGAAAGCACAGAACATCACGACAAACTGCAGAATCATTGAGATGCACCAAAAATCTGACTGTCGATTTGAAAATCAGTTGTGTTTGCTGTTCCCTTTATCTCAAACTCGACACTCTTCCCCCAGTTATTTGCATGATTTGCTTTCTCACTTCATAATGGTCCATGCTTGAATACCACCTCATTATGGTCTTCTCTGACCTCCCTACTTAAAATTATACCTTCAATTATATGTTTTCTGCATTTATAATTACTGGAAAGTGATTACATATTTATTTGTTTTTTTGTATTCTGTATTAAATATAAATTTATTGACAAAGGGACATTCTTTCCTTTTATCCCCAATACCTAAGATAACACATAGCTCAGGGTAAACATGTAATAAATATTGAATGAATGAATGAATGAGCAATTATGTATCCTCATTATGTACTCAACCTTCTTTCCCTGATTTCTGACTAGAGATAGAAAATTTAGCAGAGTGGACATTTGTTTTTGTTTTGTTTTATTTTGACTGCCTAGTTTCAGTAATCACTTCTAAAATATCTTATTGTTCTTTGTGAAGTGTCTTCTCTCTGAACTTAAATTCCTCATAGTTCTGGTAAGTTTGGCTCTATTCC